ACTTAATCATATAACACACTCAAAGTTACGTGCGCACGCACACACACGTGCACACTTTGCTATTTTTCCGTGGGTTTTTCGTCTCGCCCCTTCCGAATATATGCCTGTCGATTTTATTAGCATGATCAGAATTGCTAATTCCCGCACTAGAATATATATACTCCATCTTTCTGAGCCTTTTCTTTCATCTTTGCGGATGCGTAGTGCTAGCTTCACTCTTGCATGACACGACTGCACATATTCCATTAAGGAAATGCCTTTTCAGAATATCTGAACTCGACTTTCTTTACTTTAATACACTATTTCTATGTCCCTTCCTTCCTCCCTCTCTCCCTCTTCCCCCCCCCCCCCCTCTCTCTCTCTTCAAGAGCAGCAAAAATAAACGCAGTAGGGAGAGAAAGTGATTTTATTCTGGCCACAGAATTTATTTATTCGCTTATCAACCAACTTTGCTACAACTACATAATAAAATCTTGCAAAGGTACACGTAGATACCTTTGCAAGTAGGTTACACATACGTAAATAGGAATAAGAAAAAAATAAAACCAGAACAAAACAAGCCAATTTTAGTAGCTCTGCCGTGTTGATATTAATTTACTTTTAACAATTTATTTTTTTCTTTTTATTTATTCTATCTCCAGACCATTTATAGCGTTGCTTGATTTCTGAGAAATTTTGCTAGCAACATATATTCGATTTCTACTAATTACTGGTTGATTTTTTATTTATTTTAGGTATAATTATTTTGAATATCACAACTTCTTTGATATCTGCTAATGGTTAAAAGGGAGAACAATCACACCACGGATATCCACGCTTTGCTCTTCCGTTTAGCCGAAAAGGAAACAGTCATTCCCTTTTACTTATTCTTCCTCTTAGCTTGCTCTTTTTTCTGCGTGCGCGTCCCTTCTAATGCAATTTATCTTGGTGCTGAACTCCTAAGTAGTCTCTTACGGCTTGGCAAAAACTTTCGTGCGTGTGTTTATCCGGATGGTCTTCCAAAGTGAACGTTCGTTTTTGTACATTCGTATCCAACTATATAATATCGGCACCGCCACCCTCGTTACAAGTATTTTGCCGTGTAACGTCTGGCTTAATACTGTTATGTGATTTTTTTATTTGTCTCGACGTTTGAAACAATTTATGCAGTATAATTTTTTCATTGCCTAGTTATATGTCTATTGAATGCATATCGAAGATATTTGTGGTTTTACGTAGCTTCCTAAGTTATAAAATTTTTGAGATCGAGCTTCTGTTCGACTTTTTACAACTCAAATCAACTTTGTACTGATTTATTACACGTAAAAGAATTTTACGCAAATGAAATCCAATACGGAGTTTTCGATCCAAAAAGAAATATCAGTCGTCAGTTCTTTTCTTTTAAATATGTATACATATATACAAGAGAAAGTGAAAACTTGGCTGGTGTTTTTTATTGATCTGCGAGAAAAATGAAAAATATAAGGCCTTGGGGTAGAGCTTAAGCACGGTGAGGGCGCTTTGCACGCCATAAAAAGAAAAATTCAGCGAGATTATTGACAATTTACCAATATCAACTTATGTATATGTGACTAAAAGATGTTTCCCTTATTTATTCAATGCTAAATTATGTCTGATTACGTACCACTCCGATTCATCCATCGTGTTTGATAGAATAAAAAAGCTTATATTTTGTTAGCTTACATTTAAAAAGTTGAATTTCCAAGTACATTGTCTTCGATGGGTTAATTTGTGAGATGAACCGTGGCATTCTGTAAAACGTAACCATCGCTGTGCGCGTAATACACAGCCCTCCATTCATATTTGTAGCCTAACAATGTAACTTACTTCAATTTATAGCTAAAGGATATCAAAACTTAAGCCCCACGCTTGTCATACGAGGGTGGGTCAATAATTCTTTAGAAAATCCAAGAGATGGCGCGCGAAGCATCATAATTTATGTTGCAATAGCAAGCATCACTTCTAAATAGAATACTGCCAAAGTTTCAGCCAGATCCATCAAGTGTCGATCGTCGATCAAAATGAACAATTTTTGCTTATTCTTAAAAACACGTCTATTTATTCTATTTCACCGAAAGAAATTAAAGTTGAGGTAGATGCAATTGGGTAAATGAATTTAAACGTGGCTCTACATTGATTGCAGATGAACATCGTTCAAGCTGTCTTGTAGACGTAAATACTCCGGAAATGATCGATAAAATCCGACATGATGTTAAGTGACCAAAAAATAAAATTGTGCGAAACAGTTAAAACCACAAGGTTTCAAAAAGTACAGTCATTTCGATTTTGCATGAGAAATTGGAAACGAGAAAAATTTCAGTAAGATGGGTGCCACGTTTGTTCTCAGCAGTTGTGTGGTAACCACTTAAGCCAGCCCTCTTGGTTTGCATCCATCATAATCCGGACAACTTTCTGCGTCGATTCATAACTATAGACGAAACATGGATATACCACTATACTTAAAGCCTAACTATACAGTCACTACAGTCAAAACAATGAACTATGAAAGGTCAACTAGCTCCAAAGAAGGCAAAGACAGTAAAATCGGTCGGCAAGATTATGGCCACTGTTTTTTGGCATGCACGTGGAATTATCTTCGTCGACTATTTAGAAAAAAGACAAACAATCATCCGAACGTATTTTGCGTCGTTATTGAACCGGTTAATTGAGGAAATAAAACGAAAACTTTCTCATTTGAACAAAAAAATTTCTGTTTCAAGACAATACACGAGTGCAAACTTGCGCAGTTTCAATGGTCAAAATTGAGGAATTTAAGTTCAAATTAGTGGACTATCCGCCGTATTTATCAGATTTAACCCCTAGTAAACAAATTTATTTTTTTTATTCCTAAAACTAAAAAAGTGGCTTGCCAGTCAACAAGTCATCTCGAACGAGGAGGTCATAACACAAATAACTGGCTATTTTGAGGAATTTCCAAAATAATTTTTTTTTGATGGCCTGAAAAAATTCGAAGGACGGCTAGAAAGGTATATCGAGTAAGAAGAAAATTATGTTAAAATATAAGAAGATCTACACAAAAAAATTGTTTTTCTATCTTTTTCTAGGGACTTATTGACCCACCTTCGTATATAGTAATGTCTGTCTTTGCGTGAAAGCTTAGAGCACTCAGCATAGTGTAAAGTAAAAAGTAATAAAAATTATAACTACAAAAGATAAAATTTACGAAATTACGTATTAAGAAAAAACTATTAACATTTTTAATATCTTGTACTTTGTACGTTTGAATAAAACTAGCGTTCTAAGAAGCATGCACTCTGAATATTTGTTCGCAAAGCATGTCCGTTTGATCAAATAAATCTAATAAATTTATTACTATTTTTCTATACCTTAATTATACTTTAGTATAATTTACGGTATAGCTATTGAAGTTTCTGCCAGGGAAGCAAGAGAACGAAATGATGGATTCTTAAATTCTTTGAAATAGCTTTCAGACATTTGTTCTATTTGTAGAAATATTAATAGACACATTGGTCAGCTTTCTGTAGTCGGCGTACTACTAGATGGGCTGTCTGTATACTGCATTGATACTTAATTATGAATAATAAAAATGCATAAAAATATCTGATGCTTTAAAGTGATTAAAAATGAAAAATACACTTAAAAAATGTACATTGATTGAAGGTTTTTGTCAGCGAGGACTTTCTACTCAATCAAAATTTTGCCTATCGTTACTATTGAATAGATTGTACGCTTTATTCTTCAAAAGTAATGACATGTATGATCCTAAATTTAACAGCTTTTACATAATCATATAAGTATAGTTCCAAAGAATAAAATGCAAATAACGCGTTCGTTCGTGATTTGAACTGCCGTAAAAAATTCTAACACTGTTTTCTTTTGCCATAAATCACGATTCAAATTACTACATTTTGAAACCAAACTTTGCTAAGAAGTACGTATGTAGTTTTTCCATGAATAAACTTGTTCCGTACATTCTCGACAAGCGAGTACACTTTATGCACATTTTTGAGACGCTATTTCTCTCGCATAATCCAAGCTTTTTATGTCAGAATAAGAAACATTAATTTTTCTTTCATTTTATTTGGGAAATAACATATTAACGTTTTTCTGATAAATAAATTCATTTCAATATAATATAATTCTCAAATGTTGAAACTGATCCTAATTAACGGGTGCAATTGTACTTGTCAGATTTTTTCTTATCGATGATCACCCTGAATAATATATAGCTTACTTGAATTGTAATTACCCATACTTTTCTACTTAATAAGCTTTTCTCTTGATTCTAATAATGATTTTTAGAATTTATAGTGTTTTTTAAATTTGTATAATTAGTCTGACTTTTACTAACTGACTTCCCAAATTCAATATTCGCATAATCAATTGATTTAAAAACTAAATAGTCAAACGAAGTAATAAAAGAAAAAGAATATAAGAATATATTATGCTGCAAATGTAATATATACTTTATGATACTTCAAGCTTTATTGCTGTTCAGAATCATTGAATGACTTATGCTGTTAAAGTTTTGTGCATATCACGCATAGATTGGGTTTGAATGTTAAAAATATTCTGACAACGATTTTCCATGTCAGTTTTAAATAAATATATAAATAAATAAAGTAAGATTACATTGAACCTGATTTACAGTTTGATTATCCACAGACATATAGGTGTCATCAAAGCACATAATCAATTGATTGTATGAAAGAAAAATATTTATCAAAGTAACACCTTGATAATATACAAGGGTCGACAAATTAATTAACAGTGTGCTTTTGAAAAGTATATCTCGGTGATTTAGTGACAACCTCAACATAAGAGTCGATATTATCTGTATCTAAATGCGCGTTGTCAAAAAAAAAAAACCAGTATATATAGCATATAAACGCGCACGCAATCTCTCTTTCTCTCTCCTCTTTCTCCTTCGGCGCGGCGACATAAACGTGCGCGTGTAACGCTCTGGCGACTCCTGCAACGTGCCGGCGCTTATAGTCAGTTTCGTCGGGTCCGTCGACGCGTTCGCACACCTTTTACCAAAACACTCACAGTATCCCTATCTCACAAAAGATATTTCTGCAAATTTATATTCATGCAATTATTGAAATTTCACACGATAATTTGATTGTTGCGATTGCGGAGCAGTCGCTCTCGGAATATCGCGAGACTGACTTTATTCACACTGTGTAATCTGAAAAATCCAAGTAATTTTCGATTGAGTTTCGCGTGGAAGTCATAAACGTAAGCAATTTTTATTCAGTTAACTGCATGAAAGCGATAAAAAAATGACACGCGTGCGCGCCATGGCTGCACAAGAGGAATAAGAAGGCAGTAAAGATCTCAATTACAAGCACTCAATAAAGCTGTTGAATTGTGATAGAAAAAAATTTAGTTTCAGCACATGAATCCATTGTCGCGTGCTACAATAGTGCATAAAAATATGCTAAAAGTGCGCGAATGAAGAAGTATGGAAAAACGCGTTAAGAGATTATCGGATTAAGCTAACGTATTGCAAGTAAATATAACAACTACGTCTGATTATCTTTCCAATTGTCAAAAGAATCCTGCCTGAATGCTGCGTTCGAAGATTTTCAATGCAAAGAAAGAAGACGAGATAAATATGCAACAGTAAGAACTTTTTTCATGCCTTGAAACTTGTCAATGACAATACTCAACATATAGGTGCCAAAAGAAAATAATAATAAGATGTATTCTCGTTGTAAGTGAGTGTTATTCTAAGATGAAAACGGAGACGCAAAAATATTTTTTTGCGCGTATTCAAGTGAGTGTCAAGATTATTGTAGAGAGCAGCTCTTTTTAAATCGGCGAGGCAGACTATCACATTTTTCACGCGCCTCCGCGAGTCGTCTCTCGTGAACATTATGATAAAGAAAAAGAATACGCACGTGATTACCGTCCTTAAAACTTTAATGTGCACTTGCCTATACCAATTTTTTCTTTCATCGTTGATGAATAACCATACTTGCTAAATGTGAATACATCATTTCAAATCTTTAGAGAGAACATTATTTATTTTTAAATTGACTAATATTCATTTTACAAAGTAATTAGATTCATAGAACCACAATTTCTTGTTAATTCATGATGTCTAACTTCGCTCTTAAAGATGTTATCTTTAAGTTATGTTAACAGTGGCAGGTCTTTACCTTTTGTTTATTAATCAAATATTTATAAGACTGAACCGTGAGGTAGACTGTTAATGAATCAACGGGCAGAAACTTTCTACGCATAACAATGTGGAGAACTCTGCTCTTTCGAAAAAGCTTTTCTGAACAAAACCGTTATATTTTGAAAACAAATTCATTTCTCTTTCTCTGAAGTCACTTCGAGTATTTATCGAACGTTCTTATAATAATTAATAAATAAAAATGAAAGAAAACAATTACCTTCGTACTTTAGTAAGCATTCATTATTGAAAATACACTGCGCAATGTAGTCGCAAAAATTTCTGTGTTATTATTACAAAATTTGTAATTCATTGTATGGTATGTTACAATTACACGAGGAATTGTGCACACGCATATCATATCTTGGACATTGTACATAAAATTGATTTGCTTTCAATATTATCAATATAATACTGAATACGACTGAACATAATCACTTTATAATAACGATAAATTTAGCGGAAATTTAATCGACGAATCAACAGGGAATCTTTGAAGGCATTTGTAATTTTAAATTTTTCCCTATCTACCGCATTGCGTGATTTTAAACGTACTAACTGGAGAGAAAAAAGTTGAACTCAATTTTTCCTGTGGTGTAGGATCGAACTCGTACACTGAAAAGCAAAAGTTATAGTTCCCCAGGATTTTTACCAGTCGTTAGTCAAAAAAACGTCCACTCTCGCTATCATTTCCAAGTTAGTTATTATTATATTTTATCATTACACTCTAAGACGAAATTATGTTGCAAGGATATTATGGCTACATTAAAGTTCCGTGTGTACAACTACGTACAAATATTGTGACTCATCACCTGAATCAAGACCATATATATCAATCAATTGATTTTGTCTATATACAACACTACGTACCCCAAAGCCTTATCGTAATCCGTACATGTGCTTTATTAGCTTCAGCCATATTTTACATTCTTCTGCAGTGCTGCAATGTTAAATTGGCTGAACTTAACTGCCAGACGGAGTTTACAATGACGCTATACATTATAGTTATTTAATGGTTGATATAAAATCGTTTCTTAACTAAAATTTGTTTCAAGTTATCTCGACTTTATCCACAAGTGAGATTTATGAAATGAAGTGTTCAATAAAAACAGTGTGTTCGTAAGGATTTGCAGATTTCCGAAGATGAATAGATTAATGGTAAATGAAGTTGCAATTGAAATTCTCGAGAAAAGTTGTAAATTAAATTATACTTTCGCAATTCTATCAAGACGATTTTAATGTATAACTTAACGTCATTAAAATCTAATACAAGACTAAAGATATTTCGAATATTTAGCTAAAAATAATAGTCGTTGTCATTCATTAGATTCCCTACCAGCATAACTACCGACTTGGAATTTTGATAAAAATGACAAAATTGGCATTATATTGTTCGTACATAAGTCAGCCATTTCGCGTTTCATCTTGTAAAGTGCATCGCACAGTTATAAGAAGATTACGCTTTTTCACGCGACCAGTGCTGGCGCACACATGCTTACTTTCGTCTGCAGTATTACGCACATCCATGGTGCTGCACGGTATGCTCGTATTATTGTCCCGACTGAAAATGTTTGCAACGTTTTACGAGATGTTCCCTTTACGTTACTGCTTTTATTATTATCGCGCACTTATTTTATTTGCGAATATTTTATTTCCGGGAAGCTTGCAAATTTTTTTGAGGCGAAAAACGTCAATGAACATTGGATCAAACGATAAGCGATAAGGAATAGTGCGAGTGATGATGCGCGAGAGCAATTTACAAGCGAGTAAAACGTCACGCCAACGGGAGGCAATTAGATTCCTTTTTAGGAGACACGATAATGTCAATATAAGGCGACAACACCCTTCAGCCTGCTCTTCTTTTTGGCGCCGTTCATAATGAGACATTTCCGGGTTAATTGAGAGGTTCGAAGGAAAGCAATAAACACACTAATCGAATTAGCGATGATGGAAAAGAAACTTCAGCATTCGACGCTCTCGCCATTATATCTTGCTTGTCTTTTCAATAAAAGTATTTATCCAGCCTGACTTAAGAAATAAAACACAATCCAACGCTATATCTAACGTGACGTTTAAAAAGAATTGTCATAAAAAAGATGCCATTACATATTTACCAGAATATTTTATTCGTAATATTAAGATTTTAAAGAACTAATAAGAAACTTTGTAACAACGTATCGACTGAATATGCATCATTATGCAGTAGTACAATATTTTGAATAAATCTTCTAAAGTCAGTATTGCATAGATATAATTATGTTAATTATTTTAGTTATTAAGTAACATGCAAGCTGATTAAGTGGGGCAAACAAATGTATTATATATAATGTATTTAAATGAGGCTTCTTCATTCCACTTCGCAACGATTAAATGCATCTTCGATTGTACATTTTGAACTCGATTTTAAATATCTATGTATTCAAGTAACAAATTATTATTTTTGCGGACTTCAGTTTAATCGAATTCACCTATCCGATGCTACCTTTGAAAACAATTTTATTTTGTTTGTTTTACAAACACAACTTATCTTACCTTTTTTTAATCCAATAGATGAGGTTTTTAACTTTGTTCAAATCAGACGAAAAATCTTATCTATGCACGAAAAATTTGCCACTGTGATGCTTTGATTGAAATCTAAAATGAAAGAAATTCAAAAGGTTATCTGACATAGTTCGCGTTTCGTTACCTCCGAGATTTACCGTAAGCTTCAAGCTCTTAGCGCTGAAGAACTTTTCTTTCTCGCTGCGACATTGTTAATTTATTTTCTTTTCTTCCTTTCTTTCTTTTCACGACAAGACACGAGAGCTGTAATATTGTCTCTTATTCCTACCATTGCTTCTCGCCTTCACACGTTCATTTCGGTCTTTCTCTTTCTCATTCGTCTGATAGCGTACTTTCAATTCAGCTTTTCTTTGTCTTCTTCTTCTGACTAAAAAAACACTCAAAAAACTGTACCAAGCTAAAGATTTTACGACACATTATCAGCCTAATTTAGTCTCAAGGTCAGAATATATCCGGATCCGCTGTTATCTCTCTCCGAAACATTATTTTGCTCTTTGCCTACCTCTTTTTTCTATTTATGAGTTACAATGCGCGGAAAAGGATTGCTCGGCGCGAAAAAAATTTCAAATCTAATTTTATCTCCGAGGCTACTCCGCGTATGTACGCGTATAAAAGAGCGTGCCAGTTTTTTATTACCACTATGAACGCAACTTGTAGGAAGATAGGTCACTGTCCCTTCGATTCTCTCTCTCTCTCTCTCTCTCTCTCTTTCTCATTCTCACTTTCACTCTCACTCTCTATCCTCTATCTCATTCAAACAATCACTGAAAAAAGTTCTTTGAGTTGGTAAAAAAAAGAGATTATGATTTGTACGCAATGATAGAATAAAAGCTCTGCACATTTTCATAATTTTGTTTGAAGGATTTATTTGACAAACAAACAAAACAGAATATTACTGTTTTCATAACTCAAAGCATACTTCATACTACCTCTCTTTTTCCATATAGCAGTTATTACACACGATAGAACTTTTTATAAAAAACATTTGACAATCGGTATATATAATGATGTAACGAACGTAAATATTTACTATAAAATGAAAAATGAGATTTCCTACGTGTTACAATTGGATAGTAAAATAAACAATAGGACAGATGAAAATTACGAGGAACTGAATTAATGGCGAAATAAGCTGTTATATATTTGTATTTGTATTCTGCTATTGAAGTATAGTTATCGCCCATACATTTACGCGCACACTGTTTTCCCTCTGATTTCACTTGGTCCGGTGCTCAATTTATCAATGCAGATAGAGTGTTCTCACTCGAATGTTTGATAGACAAGTAAAGTAGAATTATAAGGATATGGCTCCTATTATCACTAAGGACTTATTACATACAAGTTACTTCTTGGTTTTTGAAACTAGTTCAATGAGTATTATTTCTTAGATTCTAATTTCTAATCAAAGTTTTTTTTCATATTAGTATATAGTAAAGCTTCGATTTACTTTAATTCTAAAAATACAAATCGCAAGTACTTCTACACGATAAACACTCAATTTTGTTCGATTGAATATGTGGATAAAGATGGACTATAATTTTAAACCAAATAAAAATACATTCCAACTAAAATGAATGATTTTCAGAAAGATTAAAAAACAGAAATAATGACGCGTTAATTATTAATATATTTACAACGTAAGCATTCTACAATTCTCAACACAAAAGTTATTACTGACGTGCAAATAAGAGCAACCTTTCGAAAATAGCTTAGCATGCCATGTTTTATATTAATCCTCGTGACAGATATAATCCTCGTTGTTACTACATAAAAAAATGCCCGCTGGTACCAAGTTGTAGCAAATACTCTATGGCAATAAGAATAAATCGGGCTGTAATAACATTTCAGTTTTGATTAAAAGGATCCTCTTGAAGGCAAAAGGAATTTCGAGTTATTTTGAGATAAAAATTTTCTTGGGGCAAGAGGTATCCTCTTATTTAACGAGAATTTTTTCAGTGTGTAAAATACGAAATCTTCACATTTAATTACGAAAGACTTAAGGTAGTTCCATTTTTAGCTTTACTGTCATAGAAAATTTTTCGATAAACTTCCTTTTAACTATATAAACTCAATTACAAAATAACAGTAAGAATATTTTTAGGCTTAAAATTGATAAAAAAGATTTAACACATCTGAATTCATAACATAGGTTTTAATAAAAGGTTAATTTTTTACATATATGTTTCAAGGATATTGTTTTAAAAAATAAGAATAACAAATCTTTGTTGAAATACAATTCATGTACTTTGAATTCTACTTTCAATTCAATTATTAGAAAACCTTGTGGTCACCGAAGTTTTTAAAAAATAATTTATTAGTAGACACTAAATAACGTCATTATACATCAATTAGACGATCGCACGTTGTCTAATTATATTTTTTGTGCTAAAATTATTTTTTCACTTAAAAATGCTCAATAACTTTTTTAACGGAGGCCCTTGTTGATACGGTGCTACACTATGAAACTAACTAAAAATTCTTGTATGTATGCATTAAAAAAGATGTGTATTTTAATAGAAATATCAATGGTGGTAAAACTATAGAGTATAAAGTTGCAGCTGAAAGTTCACAAAGATAGAAAAAATGTAAATACGTAAAGTATATAAAAGCCGCAGTTTACAGCGTGGTAACATACGAATTCTCGTAAAAGGTATATTCGAGACTTAGCTATAAAAGTTAATATTAGAAATCGTACTGCTACGCTCTTGATTTTTGCGAGGCTGTGTGATTACGCAGCGCAGCTACAAGTACGGATTTCGCCTAATGTCGCAGTCGGTGCACATATATACAAAGAGCTTTGCCAAAACAAAATTGTTATCGCCGTGAGCGTGATGTTATCACCACAGCGCGAACCTCGAGAATATTACAAGCATAGCTCGGTAAGTCCGCGCGGGACTTTTGTAAAGTTCAATTCCGTTGTATTTCGTTGCAACGTTATTAGTTCGACTATATTTCTCATCGCATTGCCCACCACAGCGCTTCAAACTTGTTTCATTACGCGTGCAGTCCACTTCTAGAATCTTTTCGAAGCTTACGCCGCGTTAATAAGCCGAATCCAACTTCAGTTCATGTTTACATTAAAGATTTTATCTGATTTTTGTCGGCTTTAGGATAATTACCGCAATAAATAACGACTCTTGCTGTCTACGCTCTCATTCACTCAAGGAAAAAACCTATATGGCGCTTACTTCCCTCTACCAACGGTTTTCCGAAAATCTGTGACTCAGTACTGACGTCACCAGAGATCCATTTTCTACTTGAGTAGATGCTATGCACATAATATCTGTCATCTTTTGAAATATTTGACATTTTCTTTAATAATTGCTAGTCTCATGGAATTATAAACTACAAATGTATATAAATATATAATGCATTTCTCAGCAATGTTTTGTGTAGCTATTGATATTGCAATTGGAAATTGGATAGGCATTATTGACATTTTTATCTGATACTAAAAGCCTTGCTCGCTTTAGAGGGAGTATATATATACATGTATTCGATATTAGGTCGATGAATATTCAAAACAAATAAAGTAAGCTACGGCCAACTAGATTTTTATCGAGAAAAATATAAAAGAATTTTAACAAGTGTAAGGAATAAACGCGACGCTTTCATAGCTGTTATAGGAAACGGATCGTCTCAGCGGACAATTTTTAGCATGAATATTCATTGTATCAGACAATTTTTGCTTCGTTGGGGTAGCAAAAAGTAATTACTCAAATAGAATATTAGAATCATCTGGTTTTTAAAGAAAACAGTACATTCCGAAAATAAGATATGGCCATAAGCCAAGTTATGTAGATCTCTCTAGATAGCCATGGATCATCAATAACGAAGCATCGTTGCTTGTGTTTGTTGCAGAGTCACGTCAATCATTCAAAAAGCCTCAAAACACATGCAGCACTCGGAAGATCGGCAAAAATCTGCATTCGATTAAGGAACTCTTTGAGAATCGACATCGATCGAACTGTTTGAGAAGACTGACGGAAGAACTAATAGCGAAGGATGGAATCGCTGATGATTATCACGCTGATTGCCGCGGCGCTGGCGATTCCATCGAAGTGCGACGAGTATAAAGCGGACGAGCCGGACGGAAATTGTACGAACCCAAACAACAAGCCATGCGTCTCCGACGAAGACTACCTGGACATGATGTACGACTATATCGTGCCGGAAAGCTACGAGTGGCTGCTTATAGGCATGCACATTTTCGTCTTTGTGATCGGCCTCGTTGGCAACGCTCTCGTCTGCCTCGCCGTCTACCGTAATCACTCGATGCGCACGGTCACTAACTACTTTATTGTTAACTTGGCCCTCGCCGACCTTCTCGTCATCATCGTTTGCCTGCCGCCCACTATCCTTTGGGATATCACCGAAACATGGTTCCTGGGCGTGATACCCTGCAAAATTGTTCTTTACTTGCAGGTCAGTTGTCTCATAACTATCACACCTTATATACTATTCACCTTCTACACTATTCACTTTCATGACAATGCATGGCAGTTGGACGCGATTTATAAATTTTATCGAAACAAACGAAATTTTAGAATTTCACTGCAAAAATAGTCGCGTATGACAGTAATACCAGAGCTTAACCTCGCTCCTCTTCGTTCAGATAACCAAACTTACTTGCATAGTAATATTTACAACAATGCCGAAGGTGCTTCATGATCGAAAATTCAAGTGTAATTTAATTTACCAATCAATGTATACTGCTCTAGAAAAGATACTTTTTCATTTATGCCTTTGTTATTTATTTTGCAGTTGCAATATTAAGACCTCTTCTATGACAACACAAATGTCACAAAGGAAAATATCGACTCTGGCAATTATCTTAAAAAATTCATTCTACGTTATTACAAATAAATTTGTTAAAACATCTTTGACTAACAGGAAACTAATCGAGTAGATTACTCTAACGCATAATTTAATAATTGAAATAAAAAAAAGGATTTTATGAACTGTACTTTAAAAAGTTAGTTAATGCATTTAAAACTTTAATGAAATATATTTTGCAAAATAATTAATTTTCGAAAGTTTGAATAATGCGGCGGGACTGCTCAGCTCCTTCTCGCTTCCCCCGACTTGTTTGCTTCATACCACCAACTGCCGCTACGCGGCGTTGCGGTAACTTTACTCGCTACAGAGTTAGCGTGCTTGGTAATACTAGAAGCGGAACAGCAGTCGTAAAATTCATAAAAAGGGTACTCGCTACTTCAATAGCGCGTCGACTTTGCTAAAGCAGATCGGCGGGGTATGGCTATCAAGACATACTCAGTACGTAATTTTTGAATTTGAGGTGTTGGCTGCCATTTGCATCGATACCTCTCCCATGTTTTTATTTCAGTCTAAATATTTGAAGTTATTCGGTAACAAAATTTATAAATCATATTTTCTTTGATAACAATCATTTCGTAAACAAAAATCATTAAATTAAAGGCAGTGGTCCTGTCGCGCGAGAAACGAATCGATGTGTAATTTAGCTTAATGCATTTTTTTTAATTCACTAAACAATTTGAAACATGGGAGATTTATGCCACTCGATTATTGAGTTCAACGCACTCGTGGCTTACTAACTCATTCAAAGCGGAATAAAAACAACGACTAAATGATTCATAAAGTCAAGAAAATTGGTCACTCCATGACAAAATTAATCATAGAACGACTAAAATTATAATTTAATTTTCGGAAATGTATCGTTTAAATATTAATAAAACAATAATATTTAAGTATCGTTCATTTGATGCACGATAAAGAATAAAAGAAAACTAAGATACATGCTTCAATCAAAATAAAAAAAAATTCATGAATACGTTGCATTCTGCATGTTTCTCAAGCTCTAGCGCTGGCACTGAAAATAGGATTATATTTTGGCAAAATAAGTAAAAACTTAGAGCGACGCAATAGACTTAACGGGAAAGTTACGCTTTGCGGCTCGTTCGACTACGACCTTGAAGACTTTGAAGGTGAAAAGTGAGTAACCGGCTATCGTTGCAGTCCGAGCGCACATGTAATTTGGTTTGTTTCGCCACAGCGATGACCGCTAAACGTACGCTATCAGAAATTCCAGGTAAATGCGTTCACTAGTCGAGAGAGCACACATACGATGCGCAAAAGTATGTGTGTCATGCTACCTACATCTATATATTAAGCTAATCAATTCAGTTTTTTAATAAATCATTCGATTTTCAAATGTATCGTTTGAAAAAATGTTTTATCAAACTCCTCTACTACGTTTTTTTTTTTTTTTTATTTCCTCTACTACGTTATTGTCTTAACAAGCATAACATCGATAACTGAACTAATGGGACAAAATTAGATTAAAATATTATGGTCTCTCTTTCAAACAGACAATTATTTTACGAACAAAAGAGAAATATTATTTAAAATGTTTTTCCATTCGTTACTGTATGTTTAATTAAATTTAAAATACATTGTATGAATAGACCGTTTTTTCTTTAAATGGAGATATGAAAAGTAAGTACGTGCTTCAGAACACGTCTTTAGATTACTTTAATCGTGTATTACATACTTCATGCGCGGTTTAACAAATGATAATATGATTTTTGTGGATGTTGACCTCTGTCAACTTATAATTATAAATTTCATCTGTGTGATTCATTCAAAATTCGAATATTTTTAATTTAAACAATACTTTTTTAAATTAAAAAAATATTGGTGCAGATGACGTACAAACGGAATATTTTCTTCGTTAAGTTTTCATTTGTAAATTATTAACTGCACAAGAATTAATGTTTTGGAATTACTGTAATCGTCATTGTTAAAATTTTTTCAATGCTCAAATGTATATTACATTTAAAAAGGTTTTAATATGAACTCTTCTTTCTTGAAATACTTTCAAAATAAAGACATAGAGACAAGCATTTAAATTGACAAAGCGCTCGGTATTGAAAGTTAACTGAGCTGAATATTCTGAGCCAGAAATTCGAGACAAGAAATTCTACTAAAAAGCTCTTTAATTTCCTTTTCAAAATTAATGAGCATATAATAGCAGCTTAATATCGTGACATTTTTGTTACAAAATGACATCTACAGCAGTCTACTATCCTGACATTAGTTAACCATAAAAAAATGTACGCTCGTCTCGAACTACTTATTCTAGTATCGCGTGCGATTCGCGTGTGACCTTCATAATACAATATGTTCAATACAGCTTAGGTGAAAATTAGTCCGAAAAGACAATTATACAATACGAGATTATTCGTTTAGCACGTAGAACGAAGGAAAATAGAAATCAATAGTGAAGGGTTGATATAATACGTCAGAAAGAACAAAACTAAGAAAAAAGATAAGAAAGAAAAGAAAAAGGACAGGGCATACTTTACATAATAACAAAGTGAATACACGAACAAGTTAAATGATAGAGGAAAGGTAAAGAAAGAGATAGTGCGGAGGGGAGGATAAGTATAGAGAGAGATTGGGTAGAACAAGGCTGCGTACTGCGTAGCGTGTATATATAGCCACATGTATGTACACATCGACGAGGGGTGAAACTAACTGTGTGTATTGCTTACCCTTATCGGTAATCTGACTTGGGGTGGAACCTGCCATGACGAGATATCCCTTCTCCTAAACTGAGTGAGATGGAGGGAGAAGACTGATTGGCTTTATCGCCTATGGTTGCATCCACCTTGTATGATTTGATGGCAAAAGCACCAGTTCGAACGTCACGGTCTATACGTGAATATATATAATAAATTTATATGTCTAAGATATTTACAAAATTAATATTTTATTTAAATTAATAGTTATCGTATTAAATTATATAATTTATTTTATAATATTAGCATTATTACTAATATCAAATATATATATATATATATATATATATATATATATATATATATATACGCTGCCTGAACGATTGTTCTAATTGTGCCTACTTCGATTTTCTCCGATAGCATTAGCTCCAGGCTAACTATTTTCGTTCTTTGCGATAATTACACGTCAAAGTCAGCTGTAGGTATAGCTGATCAGCATAACAGCTTGTTAAATGTATGCTTTACAGTTTTTGCGAGCGTTAAGAGGTGTCGAATAAAAATAGAAAAATGATGTTAAATCTACTACAATAGGCTCTAATGGTAAATTCATACAATAATTTTCATGTATGTAAAAATTGGAACGAAAGAAAAATTTTGATGCTTAAAATTAGCCTAAAGTTTTAAGCTTAATGCAAAAATAAGAAAAGATTGATAGTTTATCTCGAGCGCGTACAAAAAATTGCTTTCTAGGGACAACCGAAGTAAAAGAAAATTAAATGCAAAAAGGAGTTAGGAATATTTCATTCGTTGAGACATGAATAAAAACATGAGACGTTCAAAGCCTTGAAGATAACATGATTATTCTTTTGTTCCCTCAGCAAGTAGGAGAACTTTGCAGATATCAAGACAATTTGTATATAAAGTTGGCGAGCTAATGACGTAAAAGCAGCTGCGTACCTACACTTGGCTAGTACACACGAGTTTCAATTAGTGATGTATGTAAAGAAGAGCCAACGAGCTCTATTACAAAAGACACATTACCAGCCGAAATGAGTAAAAAGGGCCAATTAAGTCGACAGCAAGGTGTGAAAACGAGCCCCGCGTGGTAACGAACGCGCGGAGCACGGAAAAAAGAGAAAATGTCTTTGGGTGGACGAGGGCAGCAAAACAGTGGCTTCCGGTGTCGGTTGTGTGCGTTTCCCTGGCGGCCACCAACAGCATTGTTGTTATGCAGTACATGCTCTATATACTCAAATTTACGTAATAGACGCTCGTGGGCAAAGTTCTTCGAGGTCCAACACACAGCTGCGTATAATGCCAAATTTGTATATGTCAATAATTGAAACACCCATGCGGTGGCGACAATCGAACAATCGAATCTTTTCAATTAAATTGTTCTGGTTAAATCACTTTTTAATTATATCGATATTAATCTTTTGAAAGAATATTGTTAAGAAAATGCATGCGAGAAAGGATGCTTAATATACGTTCTGACAGCGTTTAATAGATCAATTTTGTGTACAAAATAATCCTACAAATGGTAACTATTCAACTTTTGTTTTTAATTAATTAATTTAGTGGTAATTATTCAACATCATCTATGAGAATATAAAATATCAAAGTCCATATATACATATATAGCCATTTTTATCGTAGCATGTGTTACTGAAAAACATTTTTGCCAGCGATAATACTACTCTAATAATTTAGAAATTAATCAAAAACCAATTAAAAAGTTCAGTTTCCTCTGATGAGAAAATAAACGTGCTGTAATTTGAAGACACCCTCTTCGTCAAGATAAATTTCTCTTACTCAAGAGGATGATCTTGTGATATCAAGTTTATTTCCAGCTCGTATAATATTTTTCTCGTTGATTTAAAACATTCCCTTAGCAGAGAAATCCGATCAAACAGTTCATCGATAAGTGCTTGCGAATGAGTTCCGAGTGCTTATGACAGGCTTGAAATACGACTCAATTACAAGCGCGCGTGGTTGTTCAGCCATTTCTGCGACGCAATAAGTAGTTTTGAACTGTCTCCTTTGATCAAAAATTTTATCGCTCCTTTCCCGTTCCCTGCATTCTCTGACGCTTATGAATATCTACGTATTCCCCGTGTACTTACTTGCTGTGGTCGCCTCCATAGTAAATTTTACTCTACTTAATTTAGCTTCCTCCTCGCTACCTCAGCATACATTGCGATGAGGACTCATGATCTTAAGCGTAATCCTATATCCTCGTATATAAAAAAGTGATGGCCTGCCAAATGAAGGCATTTTAATCGTGATCTGATTGACGGAAAGGTAGTCATATGGGTTTCCAGCATGTGGCAGTAATCCGCTAAAAAAATTGTATGAATTTTAAATGAATTTTAGATGAAAATTCATGTAAAATTCACATGTAATACATGCTATGTTCACACACAATTCATGCGTAATTCGCAAGCATTTCATACCCGAATTATCCGAAAATTAGCATGCGAATTTCGTAAGAATTTTGAATAAATTTAGTAAAAACTTTTCATGAATTTCGTATTAATTTTGTATAAATCTTTTGTCTTTAATTAATTAATTTAGTGGTAATTATTTAACATCATCTATGAGAATATAAAATAGAAGGGTCCACATATACATATATGTATATAGCCATTTTTATCGTAGCATGTGTTATTGAAAAATATTTTTGCTAGCGATAATACTACTCTAATAATTTAGAAATTAATCAAAACCTAATTAAAAAGTTCAGCTTTCTCTGATAAGAAGACAAACGTGAATTTAAGGACATCCTCTTCGTCAAGATAAATTTCTCTTACTTAACAGGATGATCCTG